CCCCTTCCCGCTAACCACCTCCCAGGTTTGGGGAAACTCTCTCTCTCTCTCGCTCTCTCTCTCTCTCTCTCTCCCTCTCTCTCTCCCCACTCTCTCTCTCTCCCAGTCTCTCTTTTCTGTCCCCATCTGTCTCTCTCCTTCCATCTGCCCCTCTCTCCGTCTGTCCCTCTCTCTCTCTCTTTCTCTCTCTCCCTCCATCCCTCCCTTCCTTTCCCCGCTTCCCTCCCTCTCTAACACGCCGCACATGCTTGAGATGCCTTGCGTCAAATCAAACAAGCCGGCCCGTAGATGCAACACGGCTGTCACAGTGGCCAACGGCGTACGCGTAAGACGGGGAAAAGCAAGCTATCAAATCAATTTGCCATTGACGGCCTGACGAGCCCTAACCAGCAGCGGAGCGCCGAGCCTGTCAAACCGGGCCGGGTGACGTAAAGCGACACTTGGCGGCGACTCCGGGACAATAGCGGACTCGTGGTCAGTCGTGATGGGCGCTGTCACGTCACGGAGATTTATGCTGGGCAAGGCTGGGCTATGCTGGGCAAAAGACGTCGTGAGAGTCAGGGGTGGTGTGGCACTGGGAGGGAGAGGGAGGAAATGAATGTGGCCAGGAAGGAAGTTTGATGATCGATCTCGTGGAAATATTATGGAGAAGAGAAGGAGACCGCCTTCCAAAGGCAAGAGGTCCTGGTTCGTCGATAAATAAGAACAATCGGAGTAGGTATCCTTCATATTAAATTCTGGGAGATTTTTTTTTTTTTTAATATTGCTTAAGCGTTGTTTTGTTTTGCTTTTCGAATATTTTCATTCAGTGTGTGAGATGCATGTGCCTGTCTGTCTGTCTCTCTGCGTGCGTACACGTATGTGATTGTCTGCGCTAGCAGACGGCGGGAGACGCCTGAGTATCAGTCATTGCGTGCATACTGAGTGATTTCTGTTCAATTTACTGACAGGATAACAACGAACAACGGCAATCACATTTCACGCTTTTCTGGGCACAAATAAATAGGTAAATTGGTCCTTTCAGTATCGCATCAGACGCGCCCCCATCCACCCCAACCCCCCTCCTTTCCCTCACAGGACAAAATAATGCAAGAGAAAAATATCTGTTAAAAGAAAAAAAAACAGGGGGGGGGGATGTCTTTTGCTCCGATCCAATCGTTGACCCATTGCGTGTTAATCACATCAAGTTTGTAACCTACTCCACCACAACTCACAGCGGTAATCATAAGCAACAGGACTACGAAAAGCAAGAAGGGAGGGGGGGGGACCTTAAAGAGAAGACTGATGTTTGCCACGCTATGTGGCGCAGAGGACATACGAGAAGATGCCACAAAGAGAAGAGGCGAGAAGAAGCTCCCAGCCAGGGCGAGGATGACGTTTTATAGTAATTCTTATAAATGCATTTACATAGCGTATACCTATGCTCTACAGCATGACCTATGCACTACAACTACAAGTATTACTACCCGCAACCGGTGAAGCGTTGAGCGCGTTTGCAGTACCGGTACTTTACAAACTCACACGACATTTTCTTTTTAATTACTGAAGACATGCAAAGCCAAAGTGTTATTCCCAAAGTGCAAGGATCAAAGCAAAACAACCGAGGCAGGATAATCTGTTGTCGAGTAGAAGATTTACTACAACAAATCGGTACGATAATAACCAAGGACCAGATAATGAAAACAGCAACGTCGACAAAAAAGAAGGACCCGACCTCACTAGAGTGGCCTCAGTCACAGTCTGATAGCTGTACACAGATAAAAAGGAAAAAAACCTCTGGAGAATCGTGCAGAAGTCAGACCTGCCAACGGCACCCTCTGACCCCCCATCAACATCATCAGACAAGTCAGTTCAAAGACTAAGCACTGTTTGTGTGGTTTCCGTGGTAACAAGCACAGCACCTCAGTAAACAACTCCACGACATAACAAAACACGTCGGTTCTCGTCGGATCTGACGCCAAACGAAACACGAAACCTCCACGGTGGTACACCCCGGGGCCATACCTTGTATTTACACCACTCTGTGATTGACCCTCCTGCCGGTGTATGATTTACCCCCACTCCGGCGTCCAGCAGTGCGGCTGGAGTAAACAGATATTGCCTCATCAAGAGCGGATGAGCCGCGGGTAAGAAGGGGAGCGGTTACAAGTTACAGCGGCTGGCACTCCAGCCAACGCCTCCAGATGGTACTTGATCAAAACACTCCAAGACCTGACAACCTATCACTACCAGATTAAAACCTGTTCCTTCAGGCTGAACGGTGGACAGAAAAAAAAACACGGAGAAGAGGAAGATTGAAAGGTAAAGGATTAAAGCCTTTTCCCATATGCCTAAAGGGTAATCGGCTGAGAATAGTTCTTGTTAAACAAAAAGAAAAGAAAAGAAAATTGCAAACAAAGGTGGAGATTCGGGAAAGAAAAGAGGCACAGTATGGGACTAACGCTACAGCCAAGAAAGAAATAGCATATTTAAGAGGCAGGACTTTATATCTAAGGTATATTCCCATGGTAAAAGAAGGCCTGTCGGAGTCCCCTCCAAAGTCCAGTGGCGGTGGGTAGACCAAAATTTGGGAGGGGCGTAGGTTGCTTCCAGTTCTTAACCACCAAATAGCAAGCAATAAGAATTAAACAGTGATGATTTTGCTATAGTCACGGTGAGCCACTGCAGTTAGAGAACCAGGCAAACGAGAAGAGTTGCCTTTTTTCCATCTCTTTGTTCGTAGTCAAATTCTTGTTGATGGTGGGGACGAAGCCGATTCAGCTCCAAATTTCCTCTAATTAGTTTTCGTGAGATGAAAAAGTTGCCTTACAAGTAGTTGGACCTGATTTATAACTGTTAAATCTCAGTGGCAAAAACACAAACATGCACACACAGCACTTCAAACATAATACTTCTATGAGCTGGATTAGGCCGAGTAGTCGAGAAAGCTGAACGCACCAAACAAAGAACCAATGAGCGCATAGGTATCTGTGTCAGTGGGGAAAAGTGTGTCATAAACTTTCACCCCTTTGTCAGGGCTAGGAGAGCGTGAGCCATCCGTACAGTGTTATTTTTTCCCAGTCTTCAACCTTTTTACAAGAAGAATTTTATTAAGGACGCGCTGTGGGAAAAGGGCTCATTTTTGCTGAGCCCTAAAGACATTTGATTGGCTGCTAGGTTACTATAGTTGTAAGTGGTGACAACAGTGATTGGATAGGCGCACAAGGCGCCAAGTTGATCACTCTGTGTTCATTGCGTGCGGTCATAAAACGGTTTCAACTGCTTATTTCATTATGGAGAAACTTTCATTTACTTTGGGATAGAGTTGGGGGTGGAGGGTGGGGAGGGGGTAGGGGCTCAAGCCCGTGAGCCCTTCACTACCCACCGCCACTGCCAAAGTCAGCGACGGTATCAACTGAGCGATCGGTATGCAGAAAAACAAAGAGAGAGCAGAGAAAGGATTCAGGTAAGGAGTAAAAATAATTATGGAAAAAAAAAAATTGCATCAGTATGTTATGAACACACACACACACATACACAAACACACTCTTTCTCTCTCTCTCTCTCTCTCTCTCTCTCTCTCTCTCTC